TGTTTCTAATACCCTGTTTGGATAGAAACAGCCCATAAAAACCCACATAAGCAAATCTAATTCCTGTTTTATGTTCACACTAGAAAAAGCACAATCTAACAGGCATCTAAAAATACATATATATTCATGACGAATGATATAAATTGTCTGGAGCTTTTTGTCTGTCAGAAGAGCTTTAAAAATAACACCATGAATTTACCAGAACATACAGTCAGTGTAGATTGAAGAGAGAAAATTTGAAAATGATTCCCACAGCAGCTTTAACATCTGAGAACCATTGATCACTAACAACTATCAGATCTTATTGGTAAAATATATCTTTTTGACTATTTCTAAAAGCTTAGTAAATTCTACTGTTAGTTGTATTATTCTCTGTCTTAGATGAAGACAGCAGAAAGAAACAAACCCTTACAAATAGCCCACATGTTGCAGAATACACACCATAATGCTGTAGTCACTATTGTAAGAGGGGAAAAATAATACTCCTATATGCAGTATTTAAATAATATACTTAGAGCAGCCATAGTTAGAGGTAGTTGAAATGACAAAACTAATCATTTTACCCATTATTCATAATAGGAATATTCATATAGCAATAGGCGAAATATAGGTAGGATTTTAAACTACTTTTGCTCTTAAATGTCGATCAATCTTTCCAGAACGATGCCTCTGAGTCTGAGATGGGGTTTATGGTTATCTAACCATAAAAAACGCAATATCTTCAGGTTAAAGGTTTAGCTCTAAAAGGCAACCTGGTTCAACTTGAGTCTGGTCATTAACTGTTAATAAAGGAATACAGTGCATTCCTATAAGCTAAATCAGGGGTCTTCAACATTTTCCAGGCCAAGGACCCCCAAACTGATGGCGAGATGGAGCGGGGACCCCATAATTATATATATTGTATGAAATTGTGTTATATTAAACTGGTCCTATAGTCACTCTATTACAGATGGAATCATGTAATGAAAGTATTTCTGATTCCTGGTTGATGGGACAGGTGTTGTGAATGAAACGGTGCCCAGCTTGAAAGAGCTCCTGTGTGTCGCTGAATGTGTGCATTGATGACTGAAAGACATCTTCTGCCTCCATTTATCAGTTTCTACAGTGTGTTGAATTCATGTTAATGTGTTTTTAAAGACATTTCAATTAGTGGAAAAAAATTGCAAGGGGGTAATAAAAAAAAAAAAAAAAATCTTATCAACCAAAACTTCCCCGACCCCCATGCAGTACCTCCGTGGACCCCCTAGGGGTCGCGGACCCCCTGTTGAAGACCTCCGAGCTAAACACCTGCATAACGCCCTCCTTAGCCACGCCCCTCACACGTTAAACGTCTGCCACCTGCTGTCTCAAATTTCACTCATATCTCATTCCAACGCTTTCCGAGCCCAGGCGCCAGCATAAACAGAATTCAGTCATTAGATTTATATACCACTCTCATTTAATTTCCCTATTGGCCTGTACACGTTATCAAACCAATATGTTGTGTGACATGATGAGGTTTCAACATACCGCCTCGTGGACAGCATACCCCGCAATATATACAGACAGGCTTTATTTCTGGTTATTTGATAAGATATATCAAAGCTGTAAACGGAACAAAATCCTGTCGTGACAGCTTTCTAGCAGGGTAACTGGAGCAGCAGGCTAACTGGTCTCTACAACAACCGCCATTTTGTACCTTTTGCATTTGACATCGCCATAACAACGGCCCGCTTGACTATGCATCTGTAGCTGCGCCGTCATGGCAAGCAAGAATCCGTGTCATTCGAGGGAGATGTACACACTAACCGCCGCGGTTAACTCGTTACTCGGCCAACGGCTAGCTTTAGGCTAACCTCGCTAAGAGACTCCCGTTATGGCTTCTGTAACAACAAGGAAAAGGCAAACGCACAATTCAGATTGAACCCCAGAGGGAAAAAAATGTTTTAATTTACCTAGATCTTCACGTCCGATTCCACGTACGTTTGCCCCCGAAAGTGAAATATCTTCTTTTTATTTTTATGGTGGATTCAGTTGTTGTTGTTGATTCTCGTTGCTGGGTTCTTGTCGCCAGGGCTACCGTGGCTATGGCGCTTCGTCCTCACCAGGGCAACTGTTGCTACCCACCCGCTGCCTCTCCTCCCCCTTCTGCACGCTGATTGGCTGAAGCCAACCAAATGTTGTTAAAGTCACAGCAGCTGCAAAAAAAGAAGAATAAAATTTCACAAAGCACCCCACGCCCAAATTATCATTATTAAGATATCTTTTTTTTAGTGAGCAGGTTCCAATAAGACAGATGAATTGATTCAAATAAATAACAAAATAAAATAATACATCTACAGACATAGTTTTAAAGCTTATATTTGAGATAGTTTCAATGATTAGTGTCATTTCATGAGAAGTGAGATTACAGTCTTTCGTGAATAATTAAATAGTGTGAAGTTTTCTATTTTAAAAATGTCACATTATTTTTATGTTTTAGCACACAAAATGAAAAGTAGATAGGAAGGAACAATGTGGTAAAAAGAAATGCATGAGTAAAATGGATATCCTTGATGGCAAAACCCCAAATTTGGGCAAAATTCAAATATGTATATATATCTCTATATCTATATATATATAGATATATATATAGATATATATCTATATATATCTATAGATATATATCTACACACACACACACACACATAGCTGTACGCAGGAAGAGAGACTCTTACTTAGTGTCCAAAACCTTGAGGACCTCTATGCAGAAATCTAAATAAGCTGCCACAATAAAGGATTGTTCTTCTCTATGAAATCTTATCTTTAGTTTAACAGTATGAGAGCTGAAGTAATATACCTGAAATTATATTAGCAAAAATTGTTATTTTTTTATTGATTCCCTTAATCATTCACCAAGACTTGCTGCTCTACAGTCAGCTGTCAAGGATGCAGACTGCGAGTAATGGGAGAACTCTAAAATAATGCAAATATGATAATGTTTATCTTTGCAGATGTGAATGCAAATGTTTTCTAATTCAGTGAGTAAGCTCGCTGAATTAGAAACAATACAAACAGGTTTCATTTATCTAACACTGACTGGTTGTATTTGTCTAGAGTTTTGTTTTTTCAATTCTCACTTCCTGTATTGTTTCTCCAGGTTTCTGTTTTGAACAAAGTCTAATTTTAACAAACAATTGAACAAATCTCACTTTCTCACCACTTTAAACAATAAATGATTTAATTATGAAATTATATTATTTAAAGTTTAGAAAACGTTTTAATGTAATGAATGATGATGAATTCAAAATATAAAAGCTGTAAAATAGTATTTAAACATGCTTAAAATGGCATATGCTTTATAACTGTTATGCTTACTTAAAGGAGAAATACTGGATATTTCCTTTTTGTTTGTATTTTTTAATGTCCTTCAATCAACAATTAAGTTTTTGAAGAAAAACAGTCTGCTATGATTTCTTGACTTAAGCTCAGGAAGATTAGAATTTGTCATGCACACGTAAAAGGAAATACGACACAAAACATAAGCAATTGATTTCTTTTTGTAACATATTATATCTCAACATATATTTTTTTAATAAATGGCATAATACTTCCAGTGTAGGATACCTAATTAGTAGGGTGTTCAAAATACCATTAAAATGGACTCATTAATGAATCAATTATATTCTAACAATACCGCTTCAGGAGCCATGGTGATCTGTTAATGAGTGTCAGGGGGGATGCCCTGCCAAAATGCCATTTAGCTTGCATCTTATTCTTTCATTAATTAAAAACTCACCATTTATATTGTAATTTCCTAAACGATTGACCTTTGACTGTGTAGGAATAGATTAAAAATGTATTTTATAGTTTTCTGACTCATGGCACGACTTCAATGTTATCTGAGTCTGAAAATGTCAGCCGTCCTTTCTCTGTCCTTCCTGTTCACCTTTTGGCAGAGGGCTAACTTAAAAGGTCATTTTTAATTTGAAAACATAACATTCAAAAAGTAATATCGGGTTCCATGAAAATCCAAAAACGGCAAAGTTAGAATAATATCAGATATCATATGGATAATTATAGTCAGATAGTCTGATGTTGAATGAACAGTTGTTTAGAAGGTAATGTCTGTAATCTAGACATGTATTTATGTATTCCCTTTTTACACCCATGCATTCTATCCATGCATGGAAGAAAGTGGCTGTTGTCCATCTCCTCCGGTTACTAGTTGAGAGGTGGGTACACCCTGAACTGATCGCCAGTCTATCACAGGACAACAAAGAGACATACATTAACTTGCTTTTGGACTATGGCAGGAAGCTGGAGTATCTGGTGAAGAATCGAAATATGATGTATTTAACGCATTTTCTTCAGGAACTAAACTGTATGTTAACCAGTGAGTTAGAAATTTGCCTCTATTACCGAAAGAAATATATCTCAAGACTATTACATTTGCAGAACACATTTTAGAAGAGCATAGGACCTTTATGGTACACTACAACCTTTCAATGCCAAGGTTAATGTCTTGATATAGCCCCTTATGAAGTTTAATATGATACAATTTTGACCGGAACCCATAGATTGTAAAAGGACACCTACTGGCCATCCTTTTAAAAAATCTCTCTAGAAGGATCCCTGCTATGAAAGGGTGAATTTCTGCATTCTTTCATATCAGAATGTCCTCTGATGAGTAAGGTATTGGTTTAATTGATAACAACTATGATATTCATGAGGTAAAATTTAGTTAGATTTGATGCAGCATCACACTAAGGGATGGTGAATGTGATGAATTTACAACACATGCTGAAACACAATTGTATCACAAAGACTTCACACAGGTTTGTTGATTATGCCACCTTTGGTCCACCTTTTGTTTCCATAAAGGTCTTCCGGTATATCACTATTCCAGATCTCTTCCTCTGTTGGAGAAGGCCTGCATGCGTAGTGCCATCCCCTCTCCAATGCATGGCAACAAACTCCTTTATAAACCACACCTGGATCACCTGCAGAGCCACAGCTCAAGCAAACTGAGACACAAGAAGTAACAAAAAAAAAGGAAAATTGATTTTTTTTCTGTGTCAATTTATTTATTTGAGGTACAATGTGGAAAGCAGTGGTACTGGCTGTATGTCTGCTCGCTGCTGGGGTTGGTGCTCAGCCCATGGAGGATCCAACATATGGGGTAAAGCTCTGTGGCCGAGAGTTTATCCGAGCAGTCATCTTCACTTGTGGAGGTTCACGCTGGAAACGGTCACTTAGAAGTCAAGGTAAGACTGGAGAAGCTGGCAAATTCTTGCTTTTCCCTATTTCCTGATGTCTGCATCTTCTTTCATATCTGGGTAACTTGACTTTAACTATAGTTGTATACTTTATATAGTATAGTTGGAGTCAATTCCATATCAATGAATAATCTCCTTTTTTGAACCATTTGATAGACAGTTACTTCTAGAGAGCAAGAAGTGCATTTCATAGTCCAGGTCCTCCTACTATCATATCATCTCTGTCGCTTCTTTAAAGACAGTAAACATAATGAATAAGCCATGTTGCTCCGTCCACCAGATGTTTCAGAAGACCCATTCACCTCCCATCAGGATGAATCTTCAGAAGGCTTGACCTCTGACTTTGCAATCGAAAGCCTCCTTCAAAGAAGCAAAGACCTCAGCTTCATGCCCAGAACCAACCCCGATGGAGCGTTCAGCAGGACCACCCGCTCATTTATCACCGACGAGATACTGGAGGCTCTTCGCAAAGCTGACCGAAAAGGCCGGGATGTGGTGGTGGGTCTGTCCAACGCCTGCTGCAAGTGGGGCTGCAGCAAAAGTGAGATCAGCTCTCTCTGCTGAGGGTTGGTGAATGAAAGTGATGGAAAAGGTTGTTTTTATTGTCCGTCCCACAAATATACACACAGAAACGTGCTTTTTATTTCACCCAGTTGTCAAAAAGTAAATTATTTTTGATATGTTTTATGTTTTGTTAATAAGTACATTTGTTGAGATAGCTTCTATGTTTACATATAATACCCAGGAACAAATGTATTTCCTTTCATTCTTGGCTAAATGATTGTCTGCTGCAACTTTTGAGAACTCTGTGTTATGTTTTGTTGGGCTTCATAAACAGTCTGTCATGTGAAATAAGGTCTAAATTTATTTGTGTTACGACATACTTCACTGAATTTTAATTGAACATTATGTGATGTATCAATTTCAGATCCTCAATAACAAAACTGTGTCATAAAGCTATTAAATGCCATACAAACACAATGATGCATGTCTTTTCTCAGTTACTAAAGAAAGAACAATCACATTTCTCAAATCCACTTTTTAGCAAAACACCGGGGAAAACTGAAATATGCAGAGGAAATGATCAACCTTAGAAGCTAATATTCCATAGAACATAAAGTTTGTTTCGAAATGACTTTTGTATTAAAAATAGAGAACTACAGGAGAAATTCTTTTCCCATTTATAGCCATAAAAATTATATGTGTAATTTATTTGTAGTACTATGAAAATAGTGTTATTAATATCTAATTATCTTTCAGCAACAGTGTGCTAAGAAAAAATGTACCTCCAAATAATTCACTTAGATATGTCCCAAAAGGGTTTTGTCCATTCAGACATGCAAAGTAAAATAACATGCCTCATTTGCCTCAACCCCTCCACAGACACTCACAAAGAAACAAAAAGTGAAAATAGAAAGTAACAAAAAAGTGGAATAAACGCAAAACATTTATCATTGTATTTATAATCAGAAGTCCTTGTATAAAATATACATCCAGTTACCGGTATTATCGGCATGTGTGTAACATTAATTTGAAATTATATTGATCAATTTGAACTATTCCTCTGGTCATTATCACTTTATTATCACTCCTCCACACTGTGGGAAAAATGATTATATTTCAATCTGAATACATTTTACAATGTAAAACTTTAAAGAATGTAAAAAAATTAAGATTTTTTTAAAAGAAAATGTAAATATATGACTAAATTGCCTTATCCAGTGTCAAACTAATATAAAAGAGGGAAACTAAAGACAGACCCTCAGTGGTATGTGGTTCATATATCTTGGCAAGTTGCAGAGAAATGAGACCTTCAATATAAAACCATTAGTTTGACATCTTAATTATTAAAAAAAATAATACACTACTTTCAGTTCCACTTGTCTTTGTGGCCACTCAGTCTTTCTCTTGTCTAGCCTACCAGATTCTCTTATTTGAAACCATATACGGGCTTCCAAAAGGACAATAAACCTTAATTGTCATGATACACAAACCTGTATTGAAAAAAAATAAATCAGGTTAAATTTGCTACTTAGCCAAACATTTTTTATATACCGTAGTTTATATAAAAGTCATCTTCTTTTAAGGAAACCAAATAACTTGATAAATAATATATATCCATATATATTTTAAAATATAAATTTAGGACTGGTTAAGTTTAGATCCTTGAGGACACCTGTGTTTAAGTGGGGGTAAAATTTAAAAATGTAAATATTTAGACATATAGGTATACTTATACAATGAAACAAATTCACAATAAATTGATCTCTGTGTTCATCTTTGTGGTTTAAGAAATACTGAAGTAAAATTTTTGTAAACTCTGACAGTTATAATTTTGATTTCTATAATATATTTAATTAGAACTATTTTTTTTTAATTATACATGACAGTATAGAAATGATTATTTCATCCTTGGATAGCAGGGTAGATTAAAGACTTAAAAAATAAATAATCTGTTATAACAGCTAATTCAGTTGCAAAAAAACCCTAAATGCCACATATCAGTGCCACATAGCAAACATTTGATAATTATAAGAGCACATTTTTGGCACACATCTGCAGGGGGGAGCTAGATGGGGGGCCAGGGGTGGCCACCCTTAGCCAATCATTGGCCACCCCTACCATTTTTCCCCCCTATAATAAAGACAGTGGCAGCAGCAATACTCTCAATATTCAAAACATTTTAATTTTTCATACATTAACAATGACTTGACAACAAAAACACTGTGGTTAATAATGCACATCAATATACTAACATTAAAGATGATAAATACAGAATTCCTGCTCTTTTCAGAACTAGATTTTCTTATGGGGTAAAGAGAAAATGCAAGTCATCTAGGAGTCTTCAGTTAATCATAGATAAATAACTATTTTAAACCTAGTAAATAAACAATTTTTGTATATATTAGTACTTGTAAATATCAATTTTATGCATAATGATTATTGATAAAAGTAGGTAAGTAATGACAATGGAAAAGATGTTTGCCGCAGAAGTCAAACTTCAAATAACTTTATCCACTATAACTTATAACTAGGAAGGATGTTTAATATGTGCCTATTTGTTAGCAAAGGTTGGAGGAAAGTATATTTAGTCTTTATTTGGGAAATATGGATGTTGTGGTTGTTACTTACTTACTTAGTGTCCAAAACCTTGAGGACCTCTATACAGAAATTAAAAGGAAAGTCTAATAAAGGATTGTACATGTAATGTTCTTTTTTGTTTCTGCATGTTTTATTTATTTTTTCCTACTTGCTTTGATTCTGTTTTATTTTCCTATATTTCAATCATGTAAAGCACTTTGCATTGTCTTTGTACTGAATTCTGCAATACAAATACATTTGCCTTGCCTTAGTTCTCTATGGAATCACATATTCAGTTTTACTGCATTAGAGCTGAAGTAATAAAATATATCTGAAATTATATTAACAAAAATATATATATTTTTTCTATTGGTTCCCTTAATCATTCAATACTTGCTGCTCTACAGTCAGCTGTCCAGGATGCAAACTGTGAGTAATGGGAGAACTCTCTAAAATAATGCAAATATGATTATGTTTATCTTTGCAGATGTGAATGCAGATGTTTTCTAATTCAGTGAGTAAGCTCAGTGTAAGATCAGTGTAGATTGACCCTAAGGTTGATGTCTATCCGCTTTCGGCCACCCCTCAGAGTACATTGGTTATTGCATGGGCACCCTTATAAGAATTTTATTGCTACGCCTCTGCACATCTGCTGATCAGTAGGAGGTCCTTCTATCGCATGTCGACATGTGACAGGAGGTAACTGTAATCATAGATATCCATAATGACTGTAATCGACAATTTTCCGTTTGAAAAATGAGTCAAAGTCAGCTACGCGGCTCTAAAGTTGAACGTACACTAGTTTAAATATGATAGGAAAAAAAGACAGTAAACATGACTGGGTCGCGTGCGCTTTTTTTCTAGTAGACACACACCATGAGGAAACGCTGTTTTACCCTCGCTCCTATGTCATGGGCAATTCCTGAAAGGGGCGGAGTTTTTTTTATATCTGCATTAACTTTACTCAGCTTCTGTAAAGCGCGTCTCTCACAGCCACAGAATGCGCTTCATGCGGCTGGTGACAAGTAGCAATGAGGTAAACATTATCTTGTCTTGGTAAAACATACAGTGAATGTAGTTTCCTATTAACAACGCTACAGAATGAGGGGGAAGTGAACGCAGCTGGCAACACATCGGAGAATTTCAATGAATTTGCTGAATTAAAATTTTTTTGTTTTTATAGAATCCTGAGATCCAAATGTGATGGCCACATCTACGCCTTGGTGGCTCCTGGTGTTCGCCTTACAGCACTGTTGTTTTTCTAACCCAGGTAAGTTTATTAAATATATAAATGACACACGTGTTTTTCTTCGCTTTGAGCGGATTTCCTCCTTACTCAGAGCATTAAAACTTTTAAACTGTCTGCATGATTAGTATTGTCTAAATTTACTCATTTCCTGTTGTTTCTTAAAAGCTACATTTAGAATATGTTTGCAGTTGTCTGAAATTTTTAACTTTATTTATTTAACAAACCAATAGTTTACAAAGACCAAAAGTTTACAACATGGGTAGAGAAAAAAAAAATAGACAGAACATGGGGCTGAAAACAAGAACAGATTCAATTTAATTCAGTTCTTTTATATAGCGCCAATTCACAACACATGTCATCTCAAGGCACTTTACAGTTCTATCAGACCATACAGTCAAATTGATTCAAAGTTTTCTATCTAAGGAAAACCAGTTGATTGCATCGACTCATTGACTCAAATGCAATCCTTCACACCAAGGATACTTGTAGCGACAGTGGAGAGGAAAAACTCCCTGTTAACAGGAATAAACCTCCAGCAGAACCAGGCTCAGTGTGAGAGGTCATCTGCTGAGGCTGACTGGGGTTCAAGGAGACAGAAGCAGAGACACAAAAAGCAGCTCTAAAAAGCGGCCCGGTCCAGGAAAAGCCAGTTCCCATGTTAGAGAAGTAAAGAGAGCACATCAGGTCAGTCACAGTCAGAGAAACAGGACTACACTGGAAAACAGGCCGATCTGCAATATCTATAAGCAAAGGTGTTGATGGCAGAAGCACAGCTGATATTTCTCCCCAGGATGGCGTCTCAGCCAAACAGGAACAGACGAGGCAAAGCTACTATGAGAAAAAGCAGAGAGAGCAGAATGTTAGACATTAAACAGATTCTGCAGAGTGGGAGAATAGAGATAGAATGATGAAATAGGGGTCCCTTTGTCCTTCAGCAGTCTAAGCCTATAGCAGCATAACTATAGCGATAGCCCAGGATAACCTGAGCCACTCTTACTATAAGCTTTATCAAAAAAGAAAGTTTTAAGCCTACCCTTAAAAGTAGACAGGGTGTCTGCCTCATGGACTAAAACTGGTAGTTGGTTCCATAGGAGAGGAGCCTATTGACTAAAAGATCATAAACAATAAGGCCAATGAATAAATAGAGCAAGACTTAAAACAAAAGAAAAGTAGAAATACGGGCAGTTACTTTTTTTTTGGCAGAAACAGTGAATGGAAAACTCATGATCAGGATTAGGGGTCTGATTTATCAAGTCCTGAAACTATTTCATGTCACTTTTCCAAGCAAAAGTTGAGGTCTATCAAATACAAACTTTGTGTGGAAATGTGCCAGAGCTCAGCTGGCTCACAAAAATAAACCGACATTCATTCAGTGCTTTGCGTTGACCATTTATGGTTAAAGGTGGGTGTGTAGAGGGCTGAAAATGAGGCGTTGTCCCGTGTGTGCAATTGGAGGCACAGGTGCTACATTTGCTTGTTTTGTGTATGCATGGTTTTAATCAATCTAAAACATCTTTCGGTACACCATTTGTGGCTGTTGGATGTCAGCTTAAAAACCTCAAAACCCCTATATTTGTTTTTTTGCTACCTTATTGAAGAGTTACCACAGCTAG